CCCCCCCGGAAAGGTAACCGATTCCCCCCCCCCCCTTTCCCCTAGAAATTTTTCTGCGGGCGCCCATGTCGGTACCTGTTCTGTTCACAATTCTTCTGTCTTATTGTGCGAAACTAACAGATTTGAAAGGCTCTCGTATGGCGTCAATGAAATTACATGTTTGCTTTTTGCTGAAAGACCCGTGTACAATTCATCACACAATGGAGCTGCCATTGCAGTATTTGATGACCTCGGTCTCTGGCCCAGTTAACCAACACAGTCATTTTAAACACGATCTTCCAAACGCAAGTGACAAGTTGACATTTTGCCATCAAGTACCCTATGCAAGTGACCTATTTCCTCTGAATTATTTTCATCAACTCTTGACTAGGCTAAATTACTCAAATAAATTTTAAAAGTTGACATTTTTTCCTCCCAATGAGGATTTATCTTTCTTTCATTCTCAGGCAGGCAAAGCACATTTTAAGTCCAAACTTAAGTCTTGGCGATGCCAACCACAACAACCACCTCGCAGGTCGTGACTCCCGTGGAGACGCCGTTCTACGATGTGGAGAAAAGACTGGACGATGAAAGTATAGATGACTATGACGCTGTGCTGTTTACCGTGTGTGACGTGTTCGGGAGACCGAGGGGAAAGTTTGCTGTGGGGTCGGGGGTGAAGAAATTTGTGAAGGAAGGGATGGAGATGCCCAACAGTGAGTATGCCCACTGGCCAAATCTGTTACATTTGCTATTACGATAACAGTAACATTTCGTGATATTGTCATAATTTGAAAACAAATCATCACAGGAACATAGCTATGCTGTTGTCAAAATCAATAACATATAAATCACATTGCCATAATGAGCACAGTAACATATTTATGATATTGCCATAATGAGCTCTGTACCATAGTAATGATATTGCCATAATGGGCACAGTAACATTTAATGATATTGCCATAAAGAGCGCAATAACATATTAATGATATTGCCATAATGAGCACAGTATCATAGTACCGGTAACAATATTGCCATAATGAACACAGTATCAAAATAATGATATTTCCATAAGTATTAATTAGAGTCTTGATTGAAGGTATACAGAACAAACGGTAAGATTCAAACAATGGATCAGTGATATTAAACAAATTATTTTTCACACCTTCCCCCCAGCCACCTGTGTTTTGGGTTTCAACTCTGAGGTTCCTAAAACAGTTCTGAGATACAGCCAAGCAAAAGCATCCACCTGTCGAATGTTTCCTGATCTGTCAAGCCTGCGACCCCTGAGTTGGTTGTGCAAGGAAGGAAGAAAGGTCCTTGGTTATTGAAATGTGCAGAAACAAAACCAGCCTTAAATTGCGCCTGGTGTCATAGGCTTGCAATTATATCGTAGAATGTATATTTCTTATCTCTAGAAAACATTAGTTAACAATGATAACAGTGTCAGACTGCCATAAACATAAAGCTTTCAAGTAGATTAATGAGGCACAAATAATTTTTGTACATAAAATAATATAGGTTTAAGCTTTAATTATGTTTACCCTAAACACTTCAGCAAATGACTTCATCAGTAGGCCTACAATAAAAACATTAATATAAGTATAATTTAATTGACATAATACATATATATATATATATATATATATATATATATGTGTGTGTGTGTGTTTCTTACCTAAAATTAAGTGTAGGATACATATATATTTGAATTATGTAAATTTAATTTGCACTTATATGAATTTTTTTTGTTGTACTGACGAAGGCATTTGCCGAAGTGTTTGCATTTGTATTCTGTGTAACCTTAAATAAAGCTTAACCTATATCGTTTTATGATTTATGTACGCAAATTGTTTGTGCCTCATTAATCTAGAAAACATTAGCCGGCATTAGGGAATCACAAATGAAGGAGCTTAACCCCCACCCATCCCCAACAACCCATTTGAAGTCCTACTGTTTGTGTGCATGAATTTTATTTTACAGATAAAATACAGGAGATAGTAAGTTAAGTAAGGTAAATTTTGGAAACCCAACTCCCCCTTTTTTTTTTTTAAAGAAAGGATTTCAGAGTTCGAGGTCAAACATTACAATATGGTACCTACAATGTTTTATTTCTTTATTTTATTTCTTTGCATTTTATTTCTCATTTACAAAAGGAACTCAAGCATGGCAAACTAATAGTGACCAGTAGTTTTTATATAAATAATAATAATGAATTTAGTATTGTTTAAAAAGTTTTGATCCTCGAATCAAAGATTTGTGTGGTGATTTCCTGCAAGGCGCATGCCTTTGATCTGATTAAAAGAAATATAAATGTCGTAGAGGATGTTTCCTGTCCGGCATATTCTGTACATTGGTGGTTCACAAAATGGTGGTCTGGACAATCCAATAACCAGATAACCTGATGTTTCTGCTGTAATTAAATCGTGGATATGATTTTTGTGTGACCATTCACGACTCCTTGTTCTTTTCAGGTGGGCCAGGTGTTGTGTGACTTGTACGACTCGAGCAAAAAACCCGACCCTTCCTCACCCCGAGAGATTGCCAAGAGGCAGGTTGCAGCACTGGAGAAGATTGGTTTCCAGATCATGTCGGCTCATGAGACAGAATTCATGATGTTCCACAAGGGAACACTAAACCCAATGGGAGGGAACGTGAGTCAGTCATTTAATCTCACCAATTAATCATTTAATCTCACCAATTAATCATTTAATCTCACCTATTTGTCATTTAATCTAAACAGCTTTTTTAAACTCACCAGCTGGTCATTTAATAACACATTTGGTCATGTAATCTCACCAGTTGGTTATTTAATCTCACCAGCTGGATATTAAATTTCACCATTTGGGTATTAAATCTCACCAGTTGAACATTTGATCTCATTAGTTGATGTTGTGAGTGTTGAAAACTTAATTATATTGAAAAGCATTTCCTTTAGGGTGCAGACCTGTTGCATCTATTAGTAACTTTAAATAAGTGCAATGTTAAGTCCAGAATCTAAGAAGACCTAAGTTAAATTGCTTCTTTACTGCTGTGCTGTCAAAAGGCCAATATACATTAAAATTAAACAGCATTTGTTGATGTTTTAGTATGAAAATAATTTTTGTCTCTTTCCAGATCCATGAGATTGTCAACATGTACAGACTGGACGGTGAGCTGTCATTTTTATATGATGTCATGTTGGGCTTGTTGAACTCTGGCATTCCAGTTGAGACACAAATGGAAGAATTCCAGCCTGGTCAAGTGGAGGTAGGAAAAGTCGAAACATTTTTAAAAAGAGATTATGTTCATTTCATCAAATAAAGGTGTACATGCTGACTTAAATGTGAAGTAATGGATTGATTGGAGTTACTGCTACAAAATAAAGTATATTTTTATTAATACCACAATATTCATATTTGAATCATGGAATCAATTTGATTTGATGTCTTTGTTTTACTAGTCACTTTTATGTTGTTGTTTGTTTCAAAAAATTTAAATAAAAGGAATCAAAAATCAATGATAATGCATTTGAAAAAAATTGATTTTCTGTTTTTATTTATTATCTCAAAATATTCTAAAAAAAACTAAGTATTATATTTCTCTGTCAGTACTCTCTCCTATCTCAGTTCTTTAATTTATCTGACAGCACTCTCGACAATCTAAGTGTTATATTTTTCTTCCAGTACTCTCTACAACCTCAGTATGGGATCAAGATGGCAGACTGTGTTCATAGAATGCGATACATTGCCAAAGCTATCGGTGACACTGGCGGCTTTGACTCAGTTTTTATGACCCGTCCTCATGCAGAGAACCAAAGCAATGGCTACCATTTAAATCATTCTCTCTGGACCCTGGATGGAAAGTAATCAAAACAGAATAGCCGTAATGTTTCATTTTTAAGCTCTCTTTGTTTTATCGGAAAAGGCATATCTCAATATATTGTTTTGTTTAAACAGAAAAATATTGTTGAAAACTTTAAAACAGTAGATAACAAACAAAACACATACTCCCACCCAAACACCCCCCTCCCCCCCACCCCCCCCACCCCCCCATGATTAAATGAAATAATAAATGAAGGACTGTGAAATGTTTTTATCTTATTGTCCTGTCTTTCAATTCAAGCTTCCACATACCTTGTCCTACTATTTCCTTAAATAAAATACCATTTAATGGTGACATAGCTTGTCATTATACTTTTTGAATTTATGCTAAAAAATGGCTGCCTTCAAATGTGTGTTTATATTTTTAAATTGTTGTACCTTCTTTCAATGAAAATCTATCATTAACAAAGGCTTTCAATGTGGCCTAGTAAAATGAATGCCTTTTTTTTTTTAACATTAATTTGTAAACCATTTATTTGTCTTTTTCCAGAAATGCTTTTTATGACCCAGATGGCGATCACAAATGTTCAGAGATTTTACGTCATTGGGTGGCAGGTCTACTTCTGCATGGACACGCTCTGTTGGCTCTATTCAACCCAACAACAAACTGTTACGAGAGACTGCATGGTTTCTTTTCACCAAGTGACAATGTCTGGAATTATGATGACAGGTAATGTTTCTCACAATATTTTATCATTGTTGAAAGCAATAAATGCAATATTTTTCTTTAGTGGAAATTATTTTTATTATTTGATGTTATAATATATTTTAATATATGCCAACTAGTTTCAACTACATTTGAAAGTAAAATACATTTATTTTTATGGTACAAAAAATATTCATTAGACTAATCCAAAATCAAATATAAATTATTTTTGTCAAAAGCTGTTCATTAAAATTAGTATTGGACAACAAAAACTATCTTTAAGCAACATTATAAAGTATTTAGGCCCACATATTATATCTTAGGAATGTCACACTGCATAAATTGTTGGAGTATCCACAGCCATTCAGGCTAAAAAGAATTTTTTTAAACTCTTGCGTCTCTCAAGTATCATACCTTGAATATTATTCTTCTAGAAATGCCAGACTGCGTGTTAAGACAAAAGGCAAGAACGTACATATAGAAGATAGGTCCCCATCTTCTGCTTGCAACCCTTACCTTGTACTAGCTGGTCTTATAGCAGCTGGTATGGATGGTATTGTCAACAAATTGGAATGTCCAGCACCAAGAGAGTTCAGGTAAAATTTTGGATGTCTGCTTATGAGAGAATTCAGGTAAATTTCCCCCATCAATAGAATTCAGGTCAAATGTAAATGTAATGCACCGAGAGACTTCAAGGAATTTGGTTGTGGACTATCACAAAAAAGATTTAGTTTTACTTCTTTACTTTACAAAAAAAATATAATGTTATAAATTTTGGTTCAACGTTCCTTACTCTGTAAGGTCAAAAATAAATCTATAAATCTATCAGTAAATTATTTTTTTTTAAATTTTATACTTTACTTGTTTACAAATTAAATTTTAATGCACTAGTAAGAAAGCTTTATTTCCACTCAGATGTTAATCAACTTAGTTGAAACATTGGAAATGTTTAAGGAAAATCAGTATTATTATTACATTTTTTAAAAACAAAATTTCCTTTTTTTTAAATAATAATTTAATGATATTTTTTTATTTACCCTTTCCATTTTTCTTAATTTCCCCAAATGTTCTCCACTACTTCCAAACAGGCCACTGGTAGAAGGGGATGCCAGAGGTAAGCCAGAAAATCCACTCCCAAAAACATTTGATGAAGCTCTCAATGCTCTGGAAAAAGACACCGTCCTGAAAACTGCACTGGGCAAAGAATTCATTGAAGACTACATTGCCTTATGTAAGGAGTTTCAGCTGGAGAAGCTAAAAGACTCTTTGGTTAAAGAACCGAGTGAACGCTTTGAGGCTGCCAGGGCACTTTTCTTATACAATTTATAAAATTGCTTAAGAATAATACCTGGCTGTTAGTTTACAACTTGGAAAATCATTGTTATTATCATTATGGGGCTCAAATCTCTAATTTAGCAAGTTGCAACCAGGGCGGCATAGTTGTTAATCTCTGTCTTATAACCTATTAATGTTCCTACATTCAGTGGCACAACTAGGGGGGTGAAAAGGCCGACTGCCCCAGGAGGTACTTTAGGGAGAGTAGCAAATTCATTTTTCTTAAGTTAACTTTTTACATTGACCTATTAAAATTAAACTTAAGTGAAATTTGCTTTTGGAATAGAAAACTATATATTTTTTATATAATAAAATACCTGTACTAACTGTGCAATCATGATTAGTAATAATTTTCAATCTTGCTTTGCAAGCATTGAAATCTAAAAGTGAAAGCTAAAATTAGCTAAAATTCAGTGATTAAAAAAACATAACAATTGAAGAGCTATACATACTATATTTACTTCCATTAGGCTGCTTCATATTTTTAATTTTTTTAAAAGATCATCTTTTAATTTGTGCCCCAAAAAGAAACATAATGTTTTTTTGGACAGTTCTACACTTACAAATTGAACTCCCATTAATTACTGATTTATTTCAAAGTTATTTCAGCTTTGAAAGATGTTTCTAATTTTTTTTTACAAAATATTTTACAAACATAAAAATTTCCCAAAATTGTGGGCCGATTTATAAAGCAATGTTAACTAAGCATTTGGAGACATTATTATTAATAGGTGGTTTTATATAGCGCAGTACCCCAACCTAGGGCTAGGCTCACTGCACTTGACATGAAAATTAGCAATTACATAAACTTAGGCTATACATTTAAAAACAACAATAGGTCCAAAGCTTGACCTCACCCACCCAAGTACTATCTACCCCGGTCTAGCCATGGACAGCACCCAGCAGAATTGAGCATTGTTTATCAGTCAGAGGGGGGTGAGAATGATGTGTCTGTATAGTACAGTTTAAAAAGATGGATCTTGGGGGCAGTTTTGAAGGCTGTGATGGTCATTTACTTAAGGGAAAAAATTTATTCATCTGCAAATGACAAGTGTAACCCAAACTGTACAAACAAAGGAATGAAATGTTGCTGCATAATATTAAAATTAAAAATAATTCTTATCATGAGCACTAAGGCTTTACTGAATATAGTGTAGAGCGTCAATTTCCTGAACTAAATGGGACCTGTGGTATTTCGGATACCAAATATTTGGATAACCAATGACACCCACGCATAAAGGATTAGTGGACATTATATAAAAATATTCCTACTTAATTTTTATGTAAGCATCGTGCATAATTGTACAGTGTATTAATCATACCATCGGAGTCGGCTGATTGAGGTCAAAAGCCAGTGAGGACAGGATTTTTTTCTATGCAAAGATGTATTTCCAAAACCAGATGACTTACGGTCACTTGAACTATGCAGACGTGTATAACATATTGTAAGGCGTTTAGGCCCCCCTTTATTTCCCCTTAATGTAAATCTCAAAATGAAGTGTACAAGATGGATGTTGCAAAAGTTGTAACATTTATTTTTTTTTTTAATTTTCTCAAAACTTTAAGGGCATGTCTTACAATCAGGAGCAGTCTATGCTAGAAACAATACATTACCCATATATAAATTGACAAGTTTGAAGATTGCATAATCCCAGATGAGTCACCACATGTACAGTAGGTATGAGACCGAAATCATTTCCGGTGATTATACCGGTACGCAAATGTTTTATTCAATACATATTGCTTATGGAAATAATAATAAGTATTAAAAAAAAAGGCAAGGACAGTTCAGATAACCAAAGTTTCAGATACACAGCATTTGAAAACTCAACACTCTACTGTTCTGATAATTTTTTATTGGAGGGGATGCAATATTTGGAGGAAGCCCCTGTTGGCTTTGGTCAAAGTTTGCCACTGCCTACATTGTTTTATGAAACAAGCAGAGTGTCAACATATGGAGTTATATCATTAAGATATTGAATATTGACGTTTACAGGTATCAAATTGTTTTATTTGAAAAATTGGTTACTTATTATTTCTGTGTTAACATCTCATTGCAGTAGTATTGTAGATTACTAGGAGTAATAATTTTGTTAATGGGGTTTTTCTCACAATTCATGCTTTTGGTCTATCTATGAATTGTATAATTAACAGGTTTTTAAGCTTATAAATATAACTGTTGACCTTGTATTGTGTTGTATTTGTTATGTTTCAGTTTGTATTTATCCTTTCTTTATATGCGGGTAACATGGCAGATTGAGGTTTCTGCCAGAAAAATGAATCTACTAACAAAATAGTATTTAATGTTTGTGAACACTTAGCACAATGTTATTTATTTTTAAAATTAAACATTAATTATACCATCATATTCATACGCAGCTTGCAAAAGGCAAAACGTTGTATTTTGAATGATAGACGAGTAAGAATTGAAGACATTTTAATGGACAATGCTTTTTTAAAAGGGCTAATATTGTAGCATAATACCCAATGCAATGTAGAAAGTATAAAATAAGCCATTCATAGCATAGTAACCTGTTCTGGTGTAAACACGTCAATAAAACAACAGTGCAGTGGACAACTGGATTTTTTAACTTACTACCAAAATTCTAACGTTTTTCAAAACATGTTTTGATCATAATTTGATGTGTCATTAGTCATATGATATGTGTTTTTAGCTTTTATTATAATTATAATACCCCTCCACTAAAATTGTGAAATAGGGTCAATATTTTTGTGACACTAGGTGACCGACTAGGTATATCATTCCAGAAATTTTTTTTTTTTTAAAATAATAATAATAATTGATAATCAATGTTTTTGCTTTCTTTTAATCAATATTTTGTTTTTCTTTTTAAAACTTGATAGGTTTGTTATTGTGTAATATAGGTGTTGGGTTATTGTTTTCAGAGCTACCAAACCTTGGGAAAGTTCCCAACAATATCTTCGGAATTCACAACACCTCATGCGATCTTGGGAATAACTATGAAAATCAAGCGAAACCTTTGAAAATACTACTATTAGGTTGGAGAGAAAATAAATTGATAATTCATTAAAAAAAAAAAGCAATAAAATTAGAAAATAATGGGAAAATATTATTTTTAAATCAAACAAAGAACAAATTATTTGCTTTACTACTTTTCAATTTTGAAATCTGTGAGGTTGGTTGTACTTTTTAATGCCACTTGTAATAAGAAATCTTCTTAAACTTAACTTAAATTTTCAATAATGTAATATTAATATTAAAAAGTAATGAGAAATTGTTTTTAAAATTTCATCCATATGTTAAATGCTGACCAAATTGATAGTGTGCACCACAGGGCAATCTAAACAATAAATAAACTCATCGTAATTATCAATATTGTGGAATTTGTGAAAAAATGTAAGCTCAGAAATCCTTTCGAGGTTTAGGCCTACTTGTTTAACGAATGAACCTTTAGCCATAATCACCACAATCCTGTGAGTGAAGAGGTGGGTTTGGAGTAACCAAAACCGGCAAAATAGAAGAAATTGTAGAATCTTAAGTTTTAACTTGGAATTACTAAAATATCATGATTTTCTACAGCAGAAATAGACAATGAAGATTCTAGCTTTCGAAAATATTGCAACTATTAATATACACAAAAAGATCCTCATTAAATTAATTGAAACAAATACTCTGTGAAACACAAAAATAATTTTGAAAGTCCAAATTCCACACATACCAAAAGTCACTTTATACAAAATTAATTTAAAAACCCACAGAAGAAGAAAAACTGTCAATGAGTGAGTTGTTAAATTGCTGGATATTTTTCCGAATATAACATTAACATACCGGGTAGGCCAACTTAATAACTTTCAATCAAGCTGATAATTTGCTTGAAGTTTGTAGAAAATTGCATGGCCACTGATGGTCAAATAGCTTCAAAATTGTCAATGGAAAAAAATTCTTTAATTAAAATATTTTGTTAATGTTATTCAAGGTCAGATAGAATGTCATTTAAAGCAAATTAATAATTAATAGAAATATGCACTTCCATTACACATTTTTTTCGGATATTGTTTACCAGAGTATGTGGTGGTAAGTGTTTAAATTATAATATTTTTTTTTCGAAAAAAAAAGTGAACTTTATTTTATATGGTGTGATAAACCTTATAAAAATAGTCTGATTAAATAAACTTGAGTATGATGTATTTCTGATGCATAAATGACATCACGAGAGGGGGGCATATTTTTGTGAAGTTGGGGGGGGGGTGGTATACGTAAGTTTATGTCACATTAAAAGTTGAAGATTATGGGAAACAATGTACCTAATAACACTAAATTTAAATTACAGATATTTGTCTGATCAAATTAGAGGCCGCTACGGAGGAGGAGAATCGGGGTTTATTGACAGTGGTGACAGTTTACTATGTGGAGACTGGAGTCATAGTGAAGTGGGATCGACGAAAGATGGTCGGTGATTACTAAATGTTCTAGGGCAGGAATTCTTAACAGTTTTGAAGCGCTACATCCCCTTCAATGTCTATCATGCGCAAACAAAATTCACCAGAAAAACATTCACAGCCCCTACCCATAATCATAATCCAAGAGCATAAAACTGATTTTTTTAAAGGCGACAACCACTAGAGGCAGCAATATATACTACCTGTGGTTAAAAGCCACTGCTCTAGGAGGGTCCATTAATATTCGAATTTGAGTAATTTTTATAGGTTGCGTTTACTTGCAAAAAAAAATGGCAGACCACCACACGTAGTGCCGTTATTGGAGCGTCATAAATGTTTGCGGTTACCTGAATTTGAACTTCCCTTTTACTCGGTGTACAGAGTACTTAGAAGCCCTAACAGAAATAACCCCAGTTGATTGCCGTGCCATGAAAACACAGGAACCATGAATTTAGAGTTGAACTCAACCGTGCGACCGACGTGCAGCGGGAGTTCAGATAATGAGAGAGAGAGGAGTCAACCAATCTGGACAGATCAAGCCGTATAGGATCATAGCGATCAATGTCAGACGTGTCTCCGAGACACACGCTCCGGCTGATTGTAGAATTTGGCCCATTTCATACTGTTCCATTTTAGATATCTACAAATTTATTGCTTGAATTGTTTACAATGAGTATTTTAAGAACGAAGTTTCATAACTTTAAACTTTTATTTTTAAAAATTTTAAATAGCGTTTTCAATTTTTAATAATTGTTTAATTTTTTTATAGTATTATTTAATTTTCAAAAGTAATGTAAAAGATATAATTGTTCTTTTTTAAGATAAATAATTAGAATGATGATTATTTCCCTTTTAAAATAAAAAGTACACCCCCTTTAAAAAAAGTTAGGGGAGGCTATTTTTTATTTTTGCAAAACAGCAACTGAGGATAATAAATACATAAATAACATATAGTTGAAAGTTAATCTTTTAAATGATAAATATCACAAAACAGCTGAAATTGATTAGTTTAAACACACAATTTAAGTGAAAATGATTTGTAAATTTTAAAATATTCTTGCCGTAAGTTATACATTAGCCTACTCAAAAATGACAATGACTAAGCCCACTAAGTTAGTGAGTAAGACTATGACTAAGACTAAGAGACTAACACTATTCACTAATTAAAGGGACTAATATTCCAATATTTAAAATAAATATGAGTCTGCAAAATCAACCTTGTAAAATAATAAAAGAGCCTCTACTATATTAAATTAAACCTATTGGATAATTTAAATTGTTAGCTCCATTCAACTTTAATGGAGTAAAAAAATAAAAAAATTATCGATATTTTTTTTATAATGTCAGTTTTGACTAAAGCTTTACTATAATTCTGGAAACGTCAATATTAAAATTGTGTATTGTAGTTAATCAGAAAGATTTTTGTTGGTTGGTGCTTTGTGTTTATTTTTTATTTTATCATTTATTGATTTTTTTGTTGTTGTTGTTTGTTTTTTTTAAATTGTAAGTGAGTGAAACAAAGAATGGAAAAACCTGAAAAGTGGAACGCAACAAAACAATGAATGTGTCGGCAATAAGCATCAGCGAACAAACAACGTTAAAACGTAATAAAAACAACATTTAGCTGAAGTGTAGTATGCCAGAGGGCAGCAAGACAACTGATTTAAAGTGGAACAGTATTCCAAGGGAAATTACTCTAAATAAATATCTAAAATAAAAGTATGCACATGTTATCCTCCTTTTGATATTCTCCAAATTGCTATTCAGACAAATATTCGGTTTTGCGGGAAGCGGTGCTATTGCTCTATGTTCTTTTTTTAAATTTTCATAGACTTGTACTGTTCCCCAGACTCATAGCACATCATTAACCTTGGCCATAAATAAATGGAAGAGATCTGTTGAAGCTGTTGGATACAGACGGGGTGCTTTGCAACTTCACGGATATTTTAATCACGTGTCATGGCTGCCGCAAATCACGTTCAACCTAAGTCAAACGTTACCAAATGTTGGATCACGCTAAAGCAATCGCGTTACGGATGATTCTGTAACTGCCAATAAAATCAAATAAAACCTTTTCAAATATTAGAAACACACACACAGACACATACACAAACACCAGACAGTAGTTGAACCTGTCGCGGTGGACTTCAGAAAACACCGCGAACGCCCTCTACAAACATAGGAGCCAGAATGATCATAAACAGATTTATAGTGGGCTCTCAAAATATAATAGAAGAAGACGTTATAACATGGAAAACATAGAATCTTTTTAAGCTCGTGACTTAATTTATTTGTATTTTCAGTACAGTCCTTTAATCATTTTTATTTCCATGCACCGTAAATAGATACACATTGCAATGCCATCATTACTGTTTAAAACATTGATGATGTACATTGCTGACATATTGATTACATCTATCCAGTGTTCATAGTCAGGAGTTCTAGAGCAGCTTTTCCCAAATTTACCGTATCCGGAAATTTGATCAATTTGATCGGTAAAATGATCGACAATAATTTAATCGAACGAAAATTTGGTCGAATTTTTTTTTTTATCTTTTTCTTTTCTTTTTTTTTTTTTTTTCGTTTTTTCTTTAAAATTTTTCTTCAAATTTCTTTCTGAACGCATTTTTTTGTTTTATTATTGGGACTAGTGCGTTAAAAAATTTTTTTTTTTTATTTTTTTTTTTATTTTTTTTTTTTTTTTTTTTTTTTTTTTTTTTTTTTTTTTTTCCGTTTTTACGTTAAAATTTTGCTTCAAATTTCTTTCTGAACGCATTATTTTGTTTTATTATTGGGACTAGTGCGTTAAAAAAGAAATTTGACTAAAATTTTATCGTGTCGGTTCTATCAAATTACCGTCGATTAATTTACCGTCGACGAAATTTCTATCGATCAAATTTCCGGTAACCAAACTTTACACTCCAAGTTTGGCGGACAGGTGGAAAATTTTCGAAATTTCAATAGGGACCGGGGGTTGATTTGTTAATTATTTTTTTTTTTCTATATGACCATAAATATTCATGTTGTGCGTAACGGCAACTTTAATGCTTGCGTGCCGGTACCGGCCCGGGGGCAAACATTTTGGGAAAAGCTCCTCTAGAGCATCGGCGTGCTCCTCGGTTGAATGCAAATTAGGGTAACCCTCCACCTCTTTCCTTGAGCCACCACAAACATTTAGTTCTCTTTTTATGGGATAGATATATCCTGTCTTCCAACCCCCCAGTTCATAACACCACCGCTAAGTAGCCCTTGCAACCAGTGAAGTATCCCCTTGAAACCCATGCACAGTAACATCGCGAACCCCTCTGAAACATAGGAGCCAGAATGATCAATACATTTGATTGTGGGGGTCTCAAAATACAGAAAAAGATATCACTTTGGTTTCAGAAATTAAATAACAACATTTATGACCGAAATAATTTTCTTAATTTCTCTATTAGATTAGCTTATAAACTTAAATAGACCTATGCTACTCAATAAAATATCAAGATGATGTGCTAAAAGAGACACAACTTTGGATAATAACTAACTTTTTGTTCACATTAATCAAATGAAGAACAAATGTGTTTTGCATATATTTATTTAGATATATCTAGTAAACACAACTCTATGTAATAAACACTTGTGATGATTTTGCTTGTGGGTTAGATAATTACTCTATTTCGTAGTATTATACCCATCGAATTGTTTACATTTGACCGCTTGCATTTCTGTGCACTGTATGCTAT